GCATATTGATGTCCTTAAGCTGTGTAGAAAGTTTGAGCTGATTCCGACTTAAATTTTTTGAGTTATGGCCATTTTAAGAAATGTGCCAAAATCTGAAAAATACCCAAGGCTATAGCCCATGCTTGTTTCCAAAAATGGCTAAAAAATGACCCCCAATTTTTATTAAATTTTCTGATACATATTGATGTCCTTAAGCTATGTAGAAAGTTTGAGTCAATTCCGACTTACATTTTTCAAGTTACGGCCATTTTAAGAAATTTGCCAAAATCTGAAAAATACCCCATGCTTTTTCCAAAAAATAGCTCAGAAATCACCCCCAATTTTTATTACATTTTCTGATACATATTGATGTCCTTATTCTATGTAGAAAATTTGAGCTGATTCTGATAACAGATTACTGAGTTATGAGCTCCATACAGTTACATGTATATCTATTTTTAGCTTATTGGTTCACATCTATGGCGGTCAAGATCTATTTGTGAATGAGTACAGAACTTTATTGTCTGACAGATTATTACTATCACTTGACTATGATGTCACAAGAGAAGTAATACCCCAATATTATTATTATTATTATTATTATTATTATTATTATCAATGTTAATATTAATTTATCTCTCTTTTAATTAATTTCTTTTTTCTGTTTCTCGTAACTTCAATAGTTAAGGAACCTTGAGTTATTAAAGCTGAGATTTGGAGAGAGTAACCTCCATTATTTCCTTTGGAAACACTGGCTTCAGTTTGAATCAGCTCAAACTTTTAGAATATCATAAGGAGATTATAATTAATAGGATTATTAATTTATTATTATTAATGATTTATTATTAATGATTATTATTAATAGGGACAGAGGAGGGGATTGACTTCCGTACAATGGGCAATCAGAATGCAGCCAGACTACTAGAGGAGGTGAGTATAGCTGTACATGTACATGTAGTTTTAGTTGGGAATCGGCTGAAGCTTTCTGCATAGCATAAAAACATCTATATGTACCAGGAAAAATTATGCAAGGGGAAAATTCTCACCTTGACAAAAATTGGCTCTTGACTGTAGTTGTACTACAGTCAGTTTTTGAGCAACTTTGACAAGAAGCTCCATGAGCACTATATGCTAAAATCCTGTGGGAAACACTCGCTTCAGTTGGGACATAGATATAATAATGTATTTGTGTGTTGTTTTGTGTAGATGTTCCACATTAGTGAATTGGATCTGATGAATCCAGTGACATACAGAGACCAATCCAATGGATGGAAGTGAGTGACAATGGACGTGTGATTACATGTACATGTACTGTATATGTATTGTGTGTTATTAGGTTTCAAGGCATTGAGAAAGATGTTGTCATTTTAAAGAAAAAGAAAGTCAGTGAATCACCTTTTCATAGGTAAGAGACACATGTTTATGTACATGTACATGTACATGTATGTGTACGTGAAATATTTTTATTCTTTCCTCTCAGTTTTATTGGTAAAGGTTTAATTGATTTGTCACCTCAAGAAGTTTATAACTGGGTCCGTAATCCTAACCAAAGATACATATTTGATAACATGTTGAAAGTAATTTAGTAACATTATCATTAATATTGTTTTATTATTATTATTATTATTATTATTATTATTAGGAGTTGCATGTAGTGAAGCAGATAGAGTCAGATCTTTACATTTGTATGTGATCCTCTCATGTGATTGTCATGTGATGTATTGTATTTGTTTAGTACACATGCAACATGAAACTACACAATGTTTCCTAAGACAATCAAGGGATTTCTGTATACTTGTATGTGAGAGATCAGAGGTACATAAATAAAGTATATTATACCATGAACATAATGTGAATATGCACTCTTACCCTCTATTTCTATTCCTTTTCTCTGTCCCTCCTTCCCCCTTTCTCCTCTCTTTCTCTTCCCTTCTCTCTCCCTCCCTCTCCCTCTCTCTCTCCCCCTTCCTCTCTCTCCCCTCCCTCTCTCTCCCCCCTCCCTCCCTCCTTCCCTCTCTCCCTCCTTC